AGGAGACTGGGAATTCTAGTCCTGCCTTAGGCATGAAATCCAACTGGGTGCCTTTGGGCCAGTCCCTTTCTCTCAGCCCGGCCCACTTCACAGGGTTGTCGCTGGGGAACTACGAGGAGGAAGATGTCTCAGGCATGTTCACCGCCCAGAGTTATTGCTCACAGAAAAGAGGGACACCAAGAAGTAAACAAACTGTTTTGACCAATATATTTGGGAAATAATAAATACCGAAGAAAAATAAATTGTGGCCTCCATGGGTAGACAAGACCACCCCCCCCCCCCGCCAAAGCGAGAGAAACGGAGGCTCCTGCTTGGAAGTAGTTCCCCAGAGGCAGCCCCCCCCACCCCCGCTCTATCCACGGGGTGCCCCCCCAAAAAACTCACATCTTCAAATCGTTGATGCCCAGCTTGCTATTAAAACATTTCCCAACGTCGCAGCCGAACCACACAGCCTGCGGGAGGAGAGAGAGCAGGAAACGGTGATCAGGATGAGAATGGAAAGGCAGGAGAGAGTTGGGGGGGGGGGTCAACCCTGGGCGGGGCAGGGTTGGGGGGGTGCAAGAGGCTGACCTCTCCATCCTGAATGGACGCGGCCACCATCTTTTTCAATAGCTCCACCGGCTGGTTGTTGTAAAGCGTCTTCCTGCCCCCCACCATGTTGCCCAGGTACTCCACCGTGTAAAGCTGATTGTATTTATTCCGGGGTCGAGGATCGTTGACCAGGCACACCTGTGAGATGGAGAGGAATGGGGAGCAGGGGGTTAAGGGCAGCCAGGTGCAAGGAAGGGGGGGTGACACACATACACACACCCCCGGATTGACTGGGAAGCCCCCACCAGCCAGACAGGACGGTTTAAACCAGGGATGGCCTTTTTAAGACTGGTGGACTTCAATTCCCAGAATCCCCCAGCCGGCATGGGACTAGAACTCCCTGCCTTCGGGTGATTGGGCCGCAGTCACCCGGCTGGCTTTCATGCTTAAGGCAGGATTAGAACTCGTCGCCTGGTGATTGTCCCAAAGTTACTCAATTGGCTTCCATCTCTAAGGTGGCACTAGAACTCACAAGCTCCTAGAGATTGGGTCGAAGTCATCCAGCCTTCTTTCCTGCCTAAGGTGGGACTAGAATTCCCAAGCTCCTAAGGATTGGCCCAAAATTATCCAGCCGCCTTTTCTGCCTAAGGCGGGACTAGAATTCACTGTCTCCTGGTGATTGGCCCAAAGTCACCCAGCCGCCTTTCCTGCCTAAGGCNATAGAATAGAATGCAGAATATTAGATTACAACAGAACAGAATAGAATTTGAAAGAATACAAGAAAAGAGAATTTGAAATAGAACAACAGAGGTGGAAGGGACCTTATAGGTCATCTATAGACAGACAGACAGACGATAGGCAAATGATAGGCAGATAATAAGACAGACAGACAGATTTCTTGCATGGGGATGTATTACTTTCCCCTTGGCTCAACCATGAAAGCCCCCACTCTGTCTCTCCCCCCCCCCACTTCCCAAGGGATGCCATACCTTTATTCCCACGGTCTTCACCCCACGAATTCTCCACCCGCCACTTCTCGTAGCCCTCGTCGGGTTCTTCCTAGAAAAGGAAAGAAGAATTTCAGGCGGTGAGAAAAATCCAGCGGGAACGACGAACGGCAACACCGCTTCTTCCTTGGGATTGAAAATGACCGAAACGTCACAGGTATTCCTCGAGCCCGAAATTTCTGTTGCTAAGTGATAGATCTTTTAAGCGAATTTTGCCCCATTTTATGACCTATTCTTCCCACAGTTGTTCAGTGAACCACGGCAATTGATAAGCTAGTAACACGCAGTTCATTAAGTCAGAAAGTCAAGTCGCGAAAGGGGGGATCACGGCCGTCATAAATATGAGTCATTTGCCAAGCATCCAAATTTTGATCCCCGTGGAGAAGCTGCAACCGTTGTAAGTGTGAAAAATGGTAGTTAAGTCACTATTTTTAATGCCCTTGCAATTTTGAATGGCCACTAAACAGTCGTAAGTCGAGGGCTAGCAGTTTTTTTGACGGAAGTATCTCTAAAATGGCAGGGTTTTTTTTGCAAAATGTCCTATTTTGTTCCTTGGCGTCCCGAAGTCAAGAACGTTTCAGAAATTTGGACAACCGGCTGTTATGACAAACAATCTCCCTGCCAGCCCAGCATTCCTGGTTTTAATCTGGCTCTCAAGAACAGCTTCTCTTCCCATTTTTTCCCCCTGCCATCCTGGTTTTGCAACTGCTAAACGGCGGTGGGAATATTTATCTACGAGCCGCATCGTTGGGAAACATACTTAAACAAGCGCAAGAGGATTGCTGGTCAGGATGAAGCAGTGGGGGCCCGAGAGGGAATTGCGAAATGCTCAAAGCAGTGTTTCTCAACCTTGGCGACTTTAAGTCCTGTGGACTTCAACTCCCAGAATTCCCCAGGCAACATGTCCTCTTCTCCAGGGGTCTCCCATCTCGATATCTTGAGGACTTGTGGACTTCAACTCCCAGAATTCCTCAGCCAANTTGTCCCAGCTTCTGCCAACCTAGCAGTTTGAAAGCACGTAAAAAAATGCAAGGAGAAAAATAGGAACCACCTTTGGTGGGAAGTGTTCCGTGCGCCTCGGGCATTGAGTCACACCGGCCATATGACCACAGAGACATCTTTGGACAGCGCTGGCTCTTCGGCTTTGAAACGGAGATGAGCAGCGCCCCCTAGAGTCAGGAACAACTAGCACATACTTTATATGTGAAGGGAGCCTTTATGTTTACTTTATGAAGAGAAGGACTAGGAGTGATATGGTTTTCCAGTGTTTGGGGTCTGTCAGAGGGAAGAGGGAGTCAAAGTATTCTCCAAAGCCCCTGAAAACAGGACAAGAAGCAATGGATGGAAACTAATCAAGGAGGGAAGCAACCTGGAATTAAGGAGAAACTTCCTGATGGTGAGGACAATTAGCCAGTGGAACAACTTGCCTCCAGAAGTTGTGGGTGTCCCAACACTGGAGGCTTTTAAGAAGAGATTGCATAGCAATTTGTCTGGAATGGCATAGGGTTTCCTGTCTGAGCAAGAGGGTTGGACTAGAAGACCTCCAAAGTCCCTTCCAATATGGTTATTCTATTATCTTTTAGATCATTCCAGTTAGGCTCAACTCTATTAGACCCATTGCTCTGACTTGAATATTTCAATTCGATTTTAATGGACAGAAGTCTATGGTGCAAGCCAGTCTCTGGAACCTAACGAGAAGCAAATATAATTGTGTTGTGGCCGAGCAGGTCCCGTTGGAGCTGCCACCAGACTCCGACAGCGAGGGGCCCTCTGAGTCGGCTATGGAGGAGGTGGAGGACCCTGGACAGGGTTCCGACTCCGAGCAGGGCGCAGAGAGGCTGGTTGGCCACCAAGATGCACCTGAGCCTTGGACGAGGGGGGAGGAGATAAGGGAGAGTGAGCCGGAAGCCAGTAGTGAGTTGTTCCTGGATGCACACCATCGAAGAACTACTAGGCGTCAGGAACAATTACGCAATTAGGCTCCTCTCCAGACTATAAAAAGCTACTTGTGCACATGGCCCTCTTTGCAGAAGTCACTACAGGATTGAATGTCGGAGGACATTACTGTGAGCTTGGCAGGGTGGATTGCTGCCAAGCC